GCATTCATTATGTCATGCTGGGCACCAGCTCCACTCACCGCGCCTGGTTCTACCCACCACTTTTTGTTCAACTCAACGTAACGATGTTTTGTTTCCCTTGTCTTTTGTATCCACTCGGTTTGTTTCACTTCACCTCACCTCGCACTTGTGCCAACACGTGCGAGATGGATGGGTGAAGGGCAGCTGTGGGGTAAGCAGAGGGTAGAACAGATTTGAGATGGACAGTGGAGCAGAATGCAGTGGAGTAGAGTGGAGCGGATAAGGTAACGAATGTCACCCAACATTACTTTGCGAATTCAGGGAGTACCCTCTTAACGAAAAAAGACCATGGCAATGAAGCGAATTACCTCTTTTAGAGGTGCAGCAGTTTTCAAATGAATGCTGCTGCTGAATGCTTTCTATCAAAAGCAAGGCAATAACGGAGCAATTTGGACTTGGTCAATTTCTTTTATCAGGCACTAAAGGCCTGCCTGCGTACATTGGACTGTACGAAACTGGACAGCGGTGGTAAGCACAGCTGGTTGCAGCCAACCGCATTAATCTTCGATAATCAGATAAATGCCATTCTTGTTGGACGGATCAAAAATCGGAGCTGTATGACAGTTGATCAGAGATTTTCCCCTCAATGTAGCCTCATCTACACAATGCGATGTCGGTTGAAGCAGACTGTCAGATGCAGCGTCGTGATTGAAGCTTGTGTGCTTTACCAGTGGTGTTGACTTGGTTGCTGCCAGTTATCAATGCTGCGCAGCAGTCGGGGAAGACGTGATGGCTGTAGACCTTCACACCACATCACGTCACATCATGCCAGGACCCGAAGTAGTTTTATGACAAGTGTCACATAAATATGAAGTCAAACGGCTCAATCATTCATTTACTTACTTGAGCATGATGAATGGAGGATGACCGATCAAGGGAGATTGATAGCAACGGTTAGCACATGATAGGTGATAAATGGATTATTCCATCTCTCGTTTAACAAAAAAAAGCTTTGGAACTGTCAGATCGAACGTGTCCACATGGAATGCACTGATGGATGACAACGCTCTTTTACAACCTCCCATTTGTACTCCCCTCTATTAAGCACCTGCACATAGAGCGGCCGAAACATTGCCCGATGCCTGACTGATGCGTTGCAAGACGACTTTTTGTCCCCTGACGTCAGTATTTACCGCAGAATGACACTCCAGCTCTGTTTCCCAAAACGTTAAATCACCCAACCCTTTGACCTCGAGTGATTGCCATTTATATCTCTCTTTTGCTGTTTGTGTACGTGTACACATGGTGAAATGGATATTCATTGGTTCGCCCAGATTTGTAAACCTGCCGAATGACTTGTCCAAGACAAATCTCTCTTACATTTTTACTAAAAGGGAAGGTGCTCAGAAGCACTCATGAGTGAGAGGATAGGCCAATTAGTCAGAAGAATGTTCTATCCAAACGGTCTAAGTACTCAGATCATTTTCTCTAGAGAGCGGTGTCCAACGATTGGAAAGAAGGGAGAGATGGGGTGGGATTTCTAGCCTCTTTATCGGTAAGCATAATCCAAATCAGATAATAACATGCAAAGTATACTAGGTGGATTTGGAATTACAGGGACCAGGGGAAGAGTGTGGACGTGGCTGGTGGCGAGTTTCCCCTCTTTTAAGGCTAAGACGAATTCTGTCTGTATTAAAAAGAAAAGCCACATTGTGATTGCTAAACCATCAAAAAGAATAATCTAGGGGGCCTTTTGCTACTCCAATGACAAGAAATGACTTTGGCCAATCACAGTGGGCACACAAACACACACACGCATGCATGCTTTCTCGACACGCCGTATATGTTACTCGGTCGTCACTCCACATGGATACATTCCCGTACAACTACCCACTTCAGAGTTCTCAAGCCTCCGAAAATGTCCACTCCAGGGCATCACAACTACTCGTCTACCATCTCCTCTCAATAACCCACCTTCAACACACGTGGTGACATCACATAAGCATATCAGTCTATCCCCTCGATTTAAACGTCCGCTGGTCATAGCCACTACACTGCCATTGCTTCCTCTCATTCACGTCATCTGCAGTACCCTCTCACCACAGTAAAAGCGTGTGCAATTTGTGTTCCACCATCTCATCCAACCAGCCTATTCGCTGCAGGAGAAGATGACATGGCGACTGGTGCACGTGGATTTGCAGGAAGATGGCGGTGGGCTGACGAGGTTTGACATCCAGCCGAGGTAAAAGATAGGTCACCGATAGAAACAGGCACCACCAACCATCTTGAGAGTAGGCATCTTCAATGGCAGTGCACAGAACGCCACAGTGATTGAAGTGTTAAATGTGCTGGGAGGAGCATTCCATGCGTGCAACGCGAAACAGGGTGAGTGTGTTTGCTTCCTTGTGTCATCACTGCCTGTGGGTGTGTGCAACAGTCATGAAGTCATAAAATTAACAATGTGTGCATACACCCCAAAGCGCCCACCTCACATGCGTTTTATGGCCTTCGTTAGTATTAATCAGTGTTTCATAAGAGTGTATTATCCTTTATTTTTGGCCTGCAAGTCGATTTCTTGTTT